GTACATTGAATCATTTTGATGCAATGTGTTGTGTATGACTAAAGATCACAATCCGAACACTTTTCCAGTGCAGTACTTCCCAGCAAAGAATCCTTTTTTAGAAACTGTTCACTTTTTTCTAAATTATTTTCAATGAGGTATGAATACTATGTTTAGTAATTACTAGCACAAACAGCCGCCTGTAGGGTGGCGTTTCTGCTGGTATTAATAATTCTCACGTTAAATTCCACAATACTGATTACAAATTGAACTGTTAATAATAGTCATGTTATTGTATTATTTATAATAACGATAGCATGAAAAAGCTGTGCCAGCTTTTGGTGCTAAAACCATAAATTTATGTATAACAAGCCTAAACGTTATATACATATACATATATATATATATATATATATATATATATATACTATGCATCCACACTGGTCTACATACTACGTCCACCTTGTAGTCTACATATTGTGTACATATTATTGCTTATAAGCAGTGTGTATACTGTTTACATTTCGTATGCTTCGTACTGTTTACGTTGCATAGCCTTCATATTTAACATTTCGTAGTCTTTATAAAGTTATTATTTCATATTATACATGTTGCAGGTATGTAGACAGAAAAGGAAGTTAGTGGGGAAGCCATATTGTAGGGGGGGGAGGTTGGAGTGACATGCCCCTTTGGAAAAGTAATATAATTTTCACTGAAAATGGTGCGTTTTGAGGCTGTCTACACACCTTTAAAACAATTTTATTCAAATATGAGTGCACTTTAGGGTGTGCGATCACACCCACTGCCTACACACATGTATTGTATATATTTTACAGTCTATATCCAGTGTACATTGCATGACCTACGTACTTTGTACATTACATAGTCTACTACACACTGTTTTCATTTTTGAGGATTCATACCTGTACTGTGATCATGCTGATTTTTTTCTAGGTTGTGTTTTGTGACTTTAAAACTTCTGCTTCTGGCTATCGAATTACCCACCGAAGATGGATCATGTTACAAGATTAGAATTAATCCAAAGAAGAAGGTCAAGATTAAACCCAACACCCAGGGATTCTTTATAGCACAGTCAGCTGATGAAGTTAAAAGGTATGACTGGTGTAATATGCAAGCATAGTACATGTTTTCTACCCCCTTATTTAACAAAAATGTTTTCAAACTTCTTCATGCATATTAATGTGTAAATTTGTAATGCAGAACGTTGGTCTAGGAAGTAGCTATGTTCTTTTCACCCATGTTACCTGCTGCATTGGGTTATTTACCTATGTTATTACGTGTGCCTTCTCGTGGGAAATATTTCTGTAAAGTGGAATGTAGTATGTGAAAGCAGATAGCGATCTTTTTCACTGGCGGGTCAGGTAATATCTTGAGGATACAACTTTTGTTATTTTTCGATGGGAATTCCAACAGTGACGTGGGCAGCTTACGCGCCCTGAAAAAGAAAGGCTTTATTATATCGGATATATAATGCTTTGTTTTCTCAGTTTGCAACGTGTTTTTCTCTCTCTCTCGTCATCACAATGATCACTGAAAGTTCCAATAAAGGCACCGTCCCCCGTCAATATACTTACTTTGGGTTTTTATGAAATCAACTGTGTTTTACCCTGTGTTCAGTCTCTCTCGTTTTCCACAACTTGGTTAAAATTGGAAAACATAGTTTAACTCTGTATAACATTTTCTGACAAACCTTCTATTATTCTGCGCATCCTATTCGATTACTCTAAGGGAAATCATTGCAGATGAGAATACCACACAAGCAATTCTAGCTCTAATTATCTGGTTTTCAGTGGTAAATGTATTGTTTATGCATTGTGTCACCAATTGGTTATTGGAACAGATAGTGTTTGAGTGAATTGCTTAAACATAGCTAACTAATATTGCAGTCATAGTTTAAGAAACTAACTAACAGTTTGAGTTGTTTTGCGTCGAAGGTGTTTGAATTATTTTTAATTTTTAGCAAACCTTAATCGTTCCGAGCACCCCAGCGGGATAACAATTTTGATTACGCGTATTAACTAAAAGTCAATTTGCAGGGCATGGTACTACTGTAAAAACTGCCACGAAGACATTAAGGATGAAAAGCTGATCAAGAAATGCAAATGTAAAAATTGTAAGTGTTTTGGATGGTCACCGTGTTTGTGAATTGTTGTGCTTTTCTCAAACCTCACACTGGATGAATCTTCTCCTTGCGTAAACTGTCTGAAATAAACTCTTTCTCTTTCACACATAGCATCTCCACGTTTTCCCACACTTCTGTCTTTTTTCTCCTCTTCCAAGCTTAACCCTAATTAACAGAATGAATATACGTAACCATTTGTTGTGTGTTTTAAAATGTCGTAACTGTTACCATTACCTGCATTGTTTCGTTGCCTTGTGGAACATGTTCTATTGTAAACTTTGTAGGCTTGATAATTCAGTATATCAACGGTGAAGCTTGGTTTAGAGCAGTGACAAAAAAGCAACGTTATGGCATGGTATATAAAGAAACGCAGAAATGTATTAGTTATGCATTTTTCGTATCCTAACTGTAATGTGTTTTCTCACAGTAGAAATATAACTAATTGTGCGTAATGCTTGCACGACAAATTGCACCAGTTGAGCGTTAAATTGATTAATTGAATAACTAATCAAACTGATTTGGTGTATAATCACGTAATTAGTACTCAATCACTTGCATAGATAATTGCACTAGTGATTCCATCTTTCCATAGAATTTTAATGCAAATACGACTTCAACATCTTTTAAAGGTATGAGCTCGTCACAAGTAACCTAGTAACACTGTTTCATATAGAACAGCAAAATTACAATTTTAATTTTTTTTAACGAAAATCTTTGCCATTAAACCATGAAACGTTTTCGGCGTGATGGAATGTTTTTTTTTATTATAATTTAATGTAAACTGGTAACAGTGAAGCTTCACGCGACTGGGACAATATGAAATCATCGTAGTATAAAAACATCGCAGGGTGTCATTCCTGTGTCGAGTTGCCACTGACAAATCAAATAAAAGCTGCTGTGTTTCTAATAATCATCAGGTCTTTAGTTTTTTTATATAGTTTTTATAATTGTATGTACAATAAAAGAATACAAGTCACGTCAATTGTTTCAAAAGGACTTCACCATTTGACTTACTGCAATTAAATATTGTGGCTTCAAGTGATTTAATGCTTTTGATTATATTATGAGTGTTAAGCTTTCTTTATTTTTTCTAAAACAGAAAGAAAAAGCACTTAATGACCACTTTTACAAATACGGAAGCAACTATTAAAAAACGCTAATTTATTGGGGCTGTGTTTCGCCGTGAAATAATTGGAATAATTTAAATATATATATATTTCCGTTTCGTCCCGTACATTATTACGTGATAACAAGAAACATATATTGTTTATACGTAGGTAATTATTGCCTGCCAGAATGTGTAAATACATTACGTAAAGCTAAAACGCATTATTCTAAAAGAAATACAATATAAGATAATGATAAAAACCCTTTTTAATCCACCTAAAGTATTTTTTGGTGAGGAATTTATTAAATGAAAGAAAACTAAAGCGCTTAATTCCTGCTGCTATTTGTTTAAGAACATGGAGAGCACAGCTCATAGCGAGTGTTTAGTTTTGTGAATAAATTTCGTTTTGAGGTATGCCTTATTCCCTACTAACTATTTTATCTACTTTTTATCACTACAGTGGCTCTATTTCGAAAAGGAGTACGGGCCGTCCAGGTCGTTGGTAGAGCAAGTATGTATAGACATTTTCTTCTTTCCTTGATATCATGCGCTGGTTTCCAAAAGGAACGAACTGTATGAATTGTCGATAAATACACAATACCATATAAAGTAATCTAAAGTTTAGATCCACAATGACTGAACATCACCAAATATTTTAAATAGATACAAGGTTCGACACTTTAATTTGTCCTCTTCAGCCCAACGTCACTGTGGATCCAAACTTTATTCTAAACAAGTTATTTAGGATCATCATATAAAATTTGCTGTTTGGCTTTGATTAATACTTTTCGATCAGTTTTATTTTAAGTTTTGCAAAAGTATATAGCGCTACATCTAAAAAAGACCGATAAAGAGAAATGTATTACTTCTTGTTAATAATATTTTAGATAAAGTAACAAATAGTAAAATAGTAGAGAAATAAGTAATAAAAATTAATATCATTTTAGAAGTAACAGTTATCAGTAAATAAAAGGTAATGCTTATTTCATTAATTATATGTGTTTTTTCTTCGTTTTCTTACCAGGAATGCCTTTGAACATTAAATCATCAGGTAAGTAATTCACCCAGTCTTCCTAAGGTCTACCTCATGTAAGGAATGATTTAAATATTTTTTTACTTTGATATCTGTATTCTGTATACTTCATCCGTTAATGGTGCCCCCCAGTGGCACAGCGGTATGTCTGCGGACTTACAACGCTAGAATCCGGGTTTCGATACCCGTGGTGGGCAGAGCACAGCTAGCCCTTGTGTAGCTTTGTGCATAATAAAAAAACAAACAAACCGTTAATGGATTAAGTATTTACAATAAAGACTCGCCTAGTGTCATGAAAAATGTATAGTTTACATATATATAGTGACAGACGAACAGGAGTTCTGGAAATTTATGTTAAAAAGAAGTAATCCTTCTAAACTTCTAAAGCAACACAACAGAAATACTGGAGCATGTGTATACTTGTATTATGAACGTGCCACGACCATAGAACCTAAAGATTATAAACTTTTTCAGGTTCTTAATTTAATTTTTTTTAAGTAAGATAAACTTTGAAAATAAAAACAAAACAGTCTGTAGGCGGTTGTATTTTACGCTTTAAATATATGATTGTAAACTGCTTAAAACTTCTTTGATTGTAACAACTCAAATTATCAAGTGAATTTTACTATCTTTTAATAATTTATGTCTTATTTTTGTAAAAGCTCAAAGAAAGATCTCGAGTAGAATTGCGGGAAATTCAACAAACAAACGAAAATATACAGTTGTTGCTATGCATCGTGTCACGTGTTATTCGTTATGGGACTTAATAGTTGTATTATTACTTAAAAATATGTTCAGTACGTTTTATTTAAATTATCTGAATACTCGCTTTTGCTTATCAGTTCTTATTTTCAGTAGCAAGTGTGGAGTGAGGCGCAATGACACAGTGGGTTATCTTTGCTCTGCCCACCATATATGTCGAAACCCAATTTTTAGTGTTATAGAAGGAAGGTCAACATCAATAAACTTACAACTTCACAATATTTTATATGCTTTGCTTGCAGTATATCCAGTTCAGATTTCGTTCGCACAGATATCTACCATTTTTGTAAGGCCATGTGTCTTGGCAACTTGTTATTTAAAAGCTTAATATTAAGCATTCGCGATCCATGTATTAAACTGTTAAGTCTTGTTTCTTTGTTTCAAAATTTTGCACAAAGCTACACAGAGGCTATCTTCACACAGCCGTTCCTAATTTTGAACTTGTCAAAAGCACTCATCACCAACTCTTCAGCTACGCTTGTCTAGCCGAATAGCGGGTTAACAGCATCGATCACCAACTCTCGAGCTACGCTTGTCTAACCGAATAGCGGGTTAACAGCATCCATCAGTAACTCTCGGGCTACGCTTGTCTAGCCGAATAGCTGGTTAACAGCATCCATCACCAACTCTCGAGCTACGCTTGTCTAACCGAATAGCGGGTTAACAGCACCCATCGTCAACTCTCGGGCTACGCTTGTCTAGCCGAATAGCTGGTTAACAGCACCCATCACCAACTCTCGAGCTACACTTGTCTAGCCGAATAGCGGGTTAACAGTACCCATCGCCAACTCTCGGGCTACACTTGTCTAACCGAATAGCTGGTTAGTAGCACCCATCACCAACTCTCGAGCTACGCTTGTCTAACCGAATAGCGGGTTAACAGCATCCATCACCAACTCTCGGGCTACGCTTGTCTAGCCGAATAGCTGGTTAACAGCATCCATCACCAACTCTCGGGCTACGCTTGTCTAGCCGAATAGCTGGTTAACAGCACCCATCACCAACTCTCGAGCTACACTTGTCTAACCGAATAGCGGGTTAACAGCATCGATCACCAACTCTCGAGCTACGCTTTTCTAACCGAATAGCGGGTTAACAGCATCCATCACCAACTCTCGAGCTACACTTGTCTAACCGAATAGCGGGTTAACAGCATCCATCACCAACTCTCGAGCTACGCTTGTCTAACCGAATAGCGGGTTAACAGCACCCATCGTCAACTCTCGGGCTACGCTTGTCTAGCCGAATAGCTGGTTAACAGCACCCATCACTAACTCTCGAGCTTCACTTGTCTAGCCGAATAACGGGTTAACAGTACCCATCGCCAACTCTCGGGCTACACTTGTCTAGCCGAATAGCGGGTTAACAGTACCTATCGTCAACTCTCGGGCTACGCTTGTCTAACCGAATAGCTGGTTAGTAGCACCCATCACCAACTCTCGAGCTACGCTTGTCTAACCCAATAGCTGGTTAACAGCATCCATCACCAACTCTCGGGCTACGCTTGTCTAGCCGAATAGCTGGTTAACAGCACCCATCATCAACTCTCCAGCTACACTTGTCTAACGGAATAGCAGGTTTGATCGTCGCTCTTATAGCGCATCCACGGCCCCAAAGTGCGGAATGCGTTTTTGCGGCAACATTACGTGAAAGCATGGATTCTCTTGGTTTTTTTTTGTATTCTGTTGTGTATGATTAAATCTATAACTCCACCTGTTCAATCAGGTACACACGATACACTCAAATTACATCTTTACTCTATCAGGTACACACAAGACACTCAAATTAAATCTTTACTCTATCAGGTACACACAAGACACTCAAATTAAATCTTTGCTCTATCAGGTACACACAAGATACTCAAATTAAATCTTTGCTCTATCATGTACACACAAGACACTCAAATTAAATCTTTACTCTATCGGTTACACACAAGACACTCAAATTAAATCTTTACTCTATCGGTTACACACAAGACACTCAAATTAAATCTTTACTCTATCAGGTACACACAAGACACTCAAATTAAATCTTTACTCTATCAGGTACACATAAGACACTCAAATTACGAGGAGGCAATATATATATATTGGTTAAAATACTCAATGTAGATAATTGCAAGCGCACAATAAATACGGCAGGAAATACGTATTCTTGATATACCGGAATGCTAACTGGACTATTTTGTGGAACATATTTCTTTGATTACTTTACGACGACAATTCCAGTAAAAGAAAAACCTCTTTTTTTTAATTGTTCGATAGTTCTGCTTACAGCTTCATCAAGAAGGTATCATTACACATAACGAGGCATAAGAAAGGTTTAGCAAAAAGCGTGTTAATACCAGCACGGAATTACATTCATAACGTACTATCCTATAGTAATTAATGTTGTATTGTTATATGACTATGATAAAACGTTGAGCTGAAAAGACAATATTATTAATATATATATATATATAATTGGGATATTTAAGGTATGAATATATAAAAAAATATGTTTAAATTTCCATTTTAATATTTTTAATAATGTCTAACCTTTGCTTTCATTTTTATTTGTAATCGTAGCGAGTCTTTATTTTGCCTCAGCGTGTATTGTGATAAAATCCTGACGAAGTCGTAAGGAGAACTATCAAGAAACTGTTTTCTTTTTTCTAGAGTTATTGTCGTGGAATAATCAAAGAAATATCAGGAAATAGTTCACGACGTATGAACACGAATCTTGTTTTCTATCGCTTTTTTCGTGAGATTTCTGCTAGAATCTCTCGAACACTGTCATATTTTTAACACTAAATTCTTTATTCAGCCTCTTAGAGTTTGTTTATTGTTTTTGTTTTATATAAGAAGAGCGTGTATTAGTATTTCCCCCATATTGTGTCCGTCATATTCATTATCGATGACACATTTCGCTCAATACAGAGCTCTTTAAGTTGGCTGGGACACAACAAACACGAGTTTGTTTGTTTGTTTGTTTTGGAATTTCGCGCAAAGCTACACGAGGGCTATCTGCGCTAGCCGTCCCTAATTTAGCAGTGTAAGACTAGAGGGCTTACTAAGACTAGAGCGCCAACTCTTGGGCTACTCTTTTACCAACGAATAGTGGGATTGACCGTCACATTATAACGCCCCCACGGCTGAAAGGGCGAGCATGTTTGGTGGGATGCGGATTCGAACCCGCGACCCTCAGATTGTGAGTCGAGCGCCTTATCCACCTGGCCATGCCGGGCACAAACACGAGAGTGGTTTAAACAATATTTATACAAGTTATTTGTTGTTTTAATTTCACGCAAAGCTACACGACGGCTATCTGCGCTAGTCGTCCTTAAGTTACCAGTGTAAGACTAGAGAGAAGGCAACTAGTCATCACCACCCACCGTCAACTCTTGGGCTACTCTTTTACCAAAATAGTGGGTTTGACCGTCACATTGTAACGCTCCACGGCTGAAAGGGCGAGCATGTTTGGTGGGACGGGGATTCGAGCGCCCCAATCACCTGGCCATGCCGGGCCAAGTTATTTGTTACAGCAACAATTGTTATGATGCGAACGCTTTTTTTCAAGTTTATGAAGCACGATTAATAGGCCACGCCTAGCCCATCAGGCTTTCCGAAGGCGCTTGAAAAATAAAGTTGAAAACTCCTTCAAAAGTTTTCCTTTGTAACTTAAACTATAGAACACTTTAATTCTTTTGTTTTTTTCTCTCTCTGGAATTCGATATTGAAATGTTAAAATAATTTAAAAATATATCAGTAATAAAAGATAAACTTTGATGAACAAAAATTGTACTTTTAATTAACTAGTGATCTAATGTTTATTACTGGTTAAAACATTTCATTTCATAAAAAATATTTAAAAAACGTTTGCAAGGTTCTTAATGTTCTTTTTTTTATTTTGAAAGAAAACCCGCCTTTTGAGCCTTGTTAATATAACTTTTTCGTCGTATAATTTCTTTGTTTATATAAATAATATTCAGTTGTTCAAATTCTCTATGCTAATTTACTTAACTTCAAAATTAAAACTAAATAAAACTTTTAAGTATCTTTAGTAGTGGTGAATTGTTTTATATTCCTCTTTGATGGAACTCGGTGAAGCGAACACAAGTTAAAACAACATCCATTCTTTTGTACATCAGCAGAGTACGTGAATAGTTGTGTTCTAAGTAGTTCTGTTTTACAAAAAAAAAGAAACAGAATTCGTAGCACTGCTAAACCAAGTAGTTCGTGTTTACATAGCTAATATTTGCTGGTCTATTGTCAGTAATATTGATTGCGACGAAGGGAATTTTTCAACGTATACATAATTCTGAAAATAAAGAGTAATTATTCCATTGGGATAGGGATAACGCTAGGTTTATCCCAAAGACTGCTTGTTCCTAATTATAAGCTTTCACAAACATAAGTTTTAGAGGTTAATTCAATCATATAGAAAATATATAGAACGCAGAAATAGACGATTTGTTTTAATATAGTAAATATGAATATATAAACGTATTTTTTTTTTTACATTACTGAACAACGACTACACGTGAATCTTTAAAGAACTAAAGTCACTTTAGAAAATCAAGAACCTCGTATAGTTCATATAGCTTCTACACTATATTTTAGCGGTTAACGCGCCCGAATTGCGAATCTGAATATTCGTAATCAACGTCCCTTTGCCACAAAAACGCGTTCCACACTTTGGGACTTTTGGATGTGCTAAAAGATTGACGGTCAAATATCACTATTTGATCAAGTAAAAGTAGCCCAATAATTCATGATGGATTCTGTTTAGAGCTACATTTTCTTTGATCTATCAAGTTGAAACTGGGCGCTATGAGCACATAGTTTACTGTAGCTTTGCGCACAAAGTCTGGAGCAAAAAGACGAAAACAAAAACAATTTTCCACTCTCTTTTTTTAATGAATTCGGTAAAGTTTAGCCCCCATCCCACCGGTGCTTCAGCGATAAGTCTGAGGGCTTAGTTATGTCGTCAACTTCAGTAAAAACATGTAATCACAACAGAAACAATGCAAACTCACTACATGGTTCGTACGACTTATAAAATAGCATTCATGATTGTAAATAGACGTTTGTCTGAAGTCCATCTCAACTAGCTTGTCCTAGTACTGAACCAAAGATCTTCTAAACAGATCTTCTACGCGTGGTAGATAGACTTAAAATGTATTTTTACACACCTCTGATTTAAAATAAACAATGAACTAAATGAATGGAATATAGAAGGAAAAAAAACACTTTTGCAGTCTACTGTGATTTATGTCAAGAACATTAAGTTAAAACAGTTTTCAATTTTCAAGATAAAATGAATTATTTATATAGGGCCACCTATTAGCACAACGGTATGTCTGCAGACTTACAACGAAACCGATTTTCGATACCCGTGGTG